AACTTTCATGTATTTCTGGGAGTATAAATTGGTACAACCAGTTTAGAAAACTGTTAGGTAATAGCAAGTAAAGCCAAACATACCCAGCCACTTTGACCACACAAAAAAGCCATGTATACATAAGCTCATCAAATGGTAAATAAAAATGTTTGTGGCAAAAGCCCTAAAATAGAAACAACCCAAATGGCCATCATCAGGAGACTGGATCAACAAATTGTGATATATGCACACAATGAAATTTTATTCATCAATGAAAATGAACAATCTATTGTAATGACATGGAAGAATCTTGCAAATATGATATTGGGTGAACACTATATACTATATGACTCCACTTACATACTAAAATTCAAAAATAGGGAAATCTAATTGGTAAATGTGGATGTCAGAACAGTGGTTATCTTTGGGATAGAGATAGTGACTGAAAAGGGGCCTCAGGTGGGGGATGTTTCAAGATACAGTAATGCTTTATTTCTTGATCTGGGTGATAGTTATAGGAATTGTTCACTTCATGATAATTAGCCAAGCTGTACACTTATGATTTGTACACTTTTCTGTAGGAATGTCCAACTTCAATATAAAATTTACATTAAAATTTAGTAACTAAATATAATTAACTGCAAAAAGCAATGACATTAAAATGTCTACAGATGAACAGCTTGGAGTTGAGCCCATGAAGTAAATTCCAAAATCTCAGGTTTTAGTGACTTGAAGTGGGCTTACTTAAGTTTATGACCATAAATTTCAGAAGGCTCTCAACACAGACAGGTATTTTCTTAACCCATTCATGTTCCCTCCCAGGGACAATATTAACACCTTGCCTTCTTTTTCCAAATAACCAATACCCTTACAGCTGATGACCTCACCAGGTTCTTCACGAAGAAAATAGATATAATTGTATAAGAACACATCCTACCACCATCAGTTCACCAATTTACCTGCCTATCTGCCCATATCCTCCAATACCCATGGATGGAAAGATGCTTTGATCCCTTCCCCTCTCAGCTTCTCAAGGTCTTCTATAATTATCCAATTCTCTCCCCAGCATGATCAATTGCCCCCCTCTGTGAAATCTAAATGTGCCTAAATATCAATACCTTTTAAGAAAATCTCCCTTGACCCTGTATTCCCCTCCAGGCAATGCTCCATTTCTCCACTCCCTTCAAAGTAAACTCCTTAAAAGAGTTGTGTGTGGATGCTATCTTCTCTTCCACCTCTCTTGTTCTCTCTTCATCTTATTTGGCCTCCATTTCCACCTCTCCACTTAAATGGCACCTATCAGGACCATTAATTACTTACAAGTTACCAAATTCCATGGCCTTGTCTTAGTGCTTATCTTACTCTTGGAAGCATCTGACCAAGTTGATTTCTCCATTCTTGAAACACTTTCTTCTGGCTTCCATCAGACCATACTCTCCTGATTTTCCTTCTAGCTTGCTGGTTGCTTTTTCTAAGTCTTTCTCCTTCCCTACTAAACTTCCAAAGTTGGACTGCCCTAGGCTAAGTTCTGGCCACCTTTTCTTCACTCTCTACATGGCCCCTAGCTCCAAAGCTTCACATACCATCTCTATACTTTCATCTCACATTTACCTTTCCAGTCAGGACCTCTATCTTGGATTCTGAATTTACACGTCTAATAGTATAAGTCTCCAGTTAACATACTACAAATACAAAAATATTGATTCTATCCTCCCAAAATAAAATGCCCACTCTTCCATTAGCCTTACCCATTTCTGGAAACTGTCTTCTACAAGTTAAGGGGGGGGAGGGGGAATAGGAGTCATCCACAGTTACTTTTTTCTTCTCACTCCATGTACAAATCCAATGAATAAATACTGTCAATCCTAGTTCCAAAATGAATTCAGAATCCAACCACTTTTCACTGTCTGCATAACTATCTCCTTAGTCCTAGCCACCATAACCTGTCATACTAACTGGTTTACCAGACTTCAGACTTGCCTCAAGAGTGACTTTAACTGGCTTGGCTCAGTGGATAGAGCATCAGCCTGCGGACTCAAGAGTCCCAGGTTCAATTCCAGTCAAGGGTATGTACCTTGGTTTCAGGCACATACCCAGTAGAAGGTGTGCAGGAGGCAGCTGATCAATGTTTCTCTCTCGTTGATGTTTATAACTCTCTATCCCTCTCCCTTCCTCTCTGTAAAAAAATCAATAATATATATATATATTTTTTTAAGAGTGACTTTGCTAAAATATATGTCAGATCATGTCACCCCTGCAAACTGTCTCCCCTTTCCCACCCTGAGCCTGTCTCAGGACAATGGGAAGCAGCTGTCCAAGGATGAAGCAACATGAAGCCATGTGGAATGGAGGTCCTGGTGGGAAGCTATACAAAAAGAATGGAGTCACCCAGACACCTTCAAAGGGAAAGGAAAGGGAATGTGGGTCACTTCCTTGAAATTCCCCTAGGCCATAAGCAATGCTAAAGATAGATGCATCATGTAGCAGATAGAAGCCACTGGTACTCTACCCATAGCCCTTCCCACAGGACCCCTGCAGACATTCCTGTATCATCCCTAGGCTTTTCCTATCTCTCTACCTAGCCTAGCTCTAACCCTAACCCTAACACAGAGCAGGCCAAGAGAGCCAAGGAATTCATACTCCAGGTTCTACTTTCTCTCAGTGAGGGGTGGAAGTTGGTGGATAAATATTCCAGCTTCCTCACTCCTCAGTGGAACACTTCTGAGATATGTGCTATTGTTGAACCAGGGTTGCCCACAAGCTCACACCTTGCATGAGCTTTCCTCCCTACACTGTCTCATTTCTATAAGCCCTCCCCATGCTTTCTGACTGCCCTCTGAAATAAACCACTTATACAGAAACCGTGGTCTCTTCCTCTGCATGCTGCCAACCCCCAACTATGACACACTACTAGTATTGTCCCTTTCCTTCCAAATTACCTGTCTGTGTTGAGAGCCTTCTTGACATCAAACAAGAACAGTGTTCTCCTAAATTCATATGGACAAAAGAAGAGGGAGGTCTATACATGAAGTGTGGAGATAATATTTTAGAAAAAAATAAAAAGTAATATATTTTTATGTCTACCCCTGGAGTTATCTATTTATTAATGTATTAATATACATAGAGCATACTAGTATATTCACCATCGACTGTTCACACACATTTAAAAAGTTCTCTTTTCTCTATTAACCATTAGTTTGTACTCCAAACAGTTAAAAGGACTTGAAAGGACTGTGTCAAGTCCCATATACCTAAGTACCCACTGCTGCCTCTATGGAAAGAGAGAAGGGGACCCAATCTGGCCCAGCACTTTATTTCACTTGTGTGAAATCTAATTTAAAGAGCAGTGTGTGTCACCACACACACACACACACACACACACACACACACACACACACACACACGGGAAATGTACGCACCACTCAACAGTCTGCAAGACTTCCCTCCAGTTCTTTTGAAGTAAAATCACCACTCACCCCAACCGCACTCCCCAGATATCAGCGCTGTTGAAAGTGAAGGGGGCTGTCCCTGCTGTGTGGTTTGAGGTAAAAAGGGAGGCAGGATTAAAGTGCTCATTTCAAGTCCCAAAAGTAAAATACGACTTGGCCTAAGGCAGCCCTAATTCTTTCCAGAACTCATCCCCGGAATTGCCCTCTTAAACAACCAGTCATTAATCCAACTCTGGGTCTTTTATAGCTGCTAAAACCTATCGCGCACATCATTTATTCATTAGGCTTATTATTGTTGTTATTGCAGAAAAGCAGCGAATTCCCTGGGTGGGGTTCAAAGAGTTTTTGTTGTTGTTGTTTGTGGGGGGGGGGGGGGCAATCTTCGAGCTGGGTTGCAGGGCAGAGGTTCCTGGAAAGGATACAGAGAGAGCTCCCCGCCCGCCCGCTCGCTCGCTCCAGGCCACCGCGCCGGTGCAGCTGCTGCAGCAAAGCGGGAAGCTTCTTATGTAAGTCGGAGCCGCTGACATCACCTTCGCTGAGTGTTGCAGCGGGACTAGGCGCCCAAGGACCAGAGCACTGGCCTAGTGCCTCCTCCCACCTTCTGCTGTTCCTAAAAGGTTCCCTCTCCGCCTGATTTCACTGATCTTGCACCAGGGGACCCTCCTGAGCGCCTCTCAGAGGGAAAATGACACAGAATGACACGTATTGGGAGCCCTAGGATGTCTCAAGAGTGAAGTTAACAGGCAGCAAAGACGCTCAGGGGTCTACCATGTGCGTGTGGATTTGGGCGACAGGACCTGGGTTTGGCGGCCACCTCTGGGATCCTCGAAGAGCAGATGACACAGAGCCTTATGCTGCTCTGGGAAGAAGAGATGGCCCAGGGGTCTCTCCGATCTCCCCAGGGCCCGGGATACTCCTCCCTCCAAGGCCCTCCCTTGGCCTCTCTGGGCCACAAGGTTGGAGTGAAGTGCTTCAGAGTTCTTCTCTCCAGGAGGCAAGAGGCGCCATGCTACATCGCACAGGAGCTCAAGGCACAAGTTCGGGGCTCCTTGCAGCCCTTGAGGTCACAAAAAGAGTGACAAAACCGTCCAGGCAAAGCAGGAACTGTAAAAAGACACTCACTGCTCCTGGAGCCCCCAAGCACGAGTGGGGGTGGGGTCGAACTACAGGGCTCAGGTTGGGCCACTGGAAACCACATAAGTTGCACCAACCCCCGCCCCCCCCCACCACCACCACCGGGAAGGGACAAGGAAGATGATCACCAGAGGTGAATAACAGACCCCTCGGCCTCCTGTGCCGCCATCAATGCCCCCTTTCAGCCCTTGGCTAGCTTTGAGTCCCTCCCGAGGCCGCCCCTTCAACTTTCTCCCCTCTGCTTCTGCATCCCTGCAAACTCCCAGCACCTGGAGGACCTGGGTGGGTCCCAGGGGAAGGGAGGGGTGGCGAGGCAGGACTAAGGTACGAGCTGCAGTGGGCGCGGCGCCTCGGGGCTGGGATTGCGGCGGCCAGGGAGGGCGGGCGCGGAGGGTGCGGCGCAGGAGCGGAGCGCCGGCTGGAGGCGCGGATACTCACGCACGGTCTCCTGCTTGGGGTCCAGCGTGCCGAGGACGCGCTGCACGCCGCCGAGCTTGCCCTGCAGGGCCCAGACGCGGCGGTGGGTCAGCTGGATGTCGCTCTCGAGCTCCTGGAACAGGCTGCACGCGTGCCGGGCCACGTCCGAGAGCTGCCGGAGGACCCGGGCCAGCGCGGCATTGCTGACCGCGCACAGGTCCAGCATGAGCAGCACGGCCGCCGCGGCCGCCGAGGGCGCCTCGCCCGCCCCGGCCGCCGCCTCCGGGGGCCCCGCGGCGCTCTCCTCGCCCGCCGCGGGTACCTCTCCGAGGGGCGGCTGCGCCTGGTCGGTCGGAGCGGGCAGCGGGGGTGGTGGCGGCCCGGAAGGTGCAGGGGGCTCCTGGGGAGGATCCTCCGGCCCCGGCTCCACGGCCTGGTCCCGCTGGCTGGGCGGCTGCAGGGGCGGCGGCAGCTCCGCGCTGCCTCCGCTCGCCTCCTCCGCCGGGCCGGGCGGCGGGCGCCGCTGCCGGCACAGCCACTGCGGCTCCACGATCCGCTTGGCGAAAGGCATCCCGCGCCGCCGGGCTGAGACTTTCTGGTCTCCCCAAAGCGCCCCCTTGCAAGCTGGAGGCCGGGCGCGCCCACCTGGGCGCACAGGGGCAGGAGTAGGCGCGCTGGGGCAGTCCGGGTACGCGGGGGTCTGTCTCCTCAGTTCACCTGGCGTCCGCCTCTCCCCGCCCTCCCGCTAGCAAATCGGGGTACCCGGTTCTCCTCCTCCGGGTGCACGCTCCAGGGGAGGATGACAAGCGTGGGTCCCAGAAATCCTGGGGTGCGCCCAGGCTCTGCTCACTTGCTTCCAACCCGGGTCAGCTGGCTCAGCTCCATCATTCCGGCGCTCGCCACCACCGCCCCGGCCGCCGCCGCCGCCACCGCCTATATAAATGGGCGTGTGTGTGTGTGTGTGTGTGTGTGTGTGTGTGTGTGTGTGGACGCGCGCGCGCGCGTGTGTCTGGGTGGGTGGGTGAGAGTGTGTGCGCGCCTCAGTTTGAAAGTACCCCGACGCAGGCCTCTCCCCGTGCGCCCTTTGGCCGCTCCTGGGAGCGATCGCGCCCAGGCTCTCTCCCTCTCTGGGCCAGGAGGAGGTTTCAGAGAGGCGCTTTGAAAACCCGGAGAGAGGAATCCGCCTCCAGCCCCGGCGCAGGAGGCGGCGCGGGGGCAGCGGGCCGACGCAGGGCGGGGGGTGGGGGTGGGGGAGTCCAGGGCCAGAGGGGCGCAGCGCCCCATGCGACCGCTGGGAGTCACTGGTGGCCTCACCGGGCGTGTGTGCGGAAGCAAAAACATTCCCTCGCATCCAAGGGGGTTAGGATTGAGACCATCAGCGTGGCAGGGCAGGGAATCCTCAAGTTGGGGTTGGGTGCGGGTACAAAGCGCAGAGGTAGAGGGGTGGGGTACTGGGGGTGCAGCAGATCCAGCGTGTTGAAGCAAGTTGCCTCACGGAATTCCAGCTCTGGGCAAGTCCTTTGGGTTCTTAGCAGGGAAAGCCAGGCGGCCCCTAAGAGTGCCCTGGGCTCTGTGAGCCCAGTGAGACAGCTGGGAAGGATGACCAGGCATCGGTGTACCCCAATGCAGCCACAGTAGGCCAGGGTGCCATTTATATCCCCTGCCCAAGCTTCTCTGGGCCAGGTCTCTACAGAACATCATGAATGAGACCCAAACCGCCAATGAGCAAACCAAACCCTTCAGAAAGCTGCTTGCAAAAAGCACTGACGTGTTAGCTGACATAACCAGGATTACCTTTCTGTCACCCTACTGCGCTGATCACACACAGGGTTTTTAAAGTCCTCCATCAGAGAGATGATTCATAGAAGAAACTTTTCCTCTTCAGTTAACTGGAAGGTATAATTTTGAAAAAGCCATGTATTTCTATGGCAGCAGACTGGATACCGTCAGCCTAAAACGTTTTTAAAATGAGTATGGGAAATGTTAATAAAATATATGCTTTCATCCCTCCAAAAAGAATACTGTAAAAGTTTTTTTTTTTTTTTAATTTTAAAGCCAGAAGCCAAATCTTGGGAATGCAGCCTTTATTTCATGTGTCTAAAGAGAACAAGAGGGGGAAATGTTTTATGGCAACAATAAAATCCTCCAGACCTGTGGTAGTGTCTCCTCTCCTCACTCCTGCCTTAACAGGAGCCAGCACAGGGCCCAACAATCAGCTCTTTGGACTGGCCCACACTTTAGTTATAAAAGCTTCAACAGACCCTTTTCTTATTCTACCTAAAAAAGTAAGATGTTTGGCAAGAGAATGTCCTTGTTCCTCAAAGATCCAGGCTAGGGGTAAAAGGGTCATGACGTCTACAAGATACACATAAATGTTTCAGTACCAATAACAAGAATAATTATAATAACAATAATGTATAGGTAGAGAGAGAAAAGAAGAAGAAAATACAGCCAAATGTGCAAAATAGTGCGTCAAAGTAAAGGGCATATTGAGATTCATCGTCCATTTCTTGCAACTTTAAATTTGGTTTGGTTTCCAAATAAAAAGTGAAAGAAAGACGACTTTGGGAAAAGATCTTTTTGGAGTTGTTCTTTATCTCACAAGATTTAAAAAGTTTAGGGCTGGCTGTTTTCAAATTTAGCTTGACTTTTTAATATATTCGAGATTCTCAACATGAGCTCTGCTAGGTAGCCAAGCCACACACTCCTCCCTAAACATATTGAGATTTAAAAAAAAAAAAAGAAGAAGAAGGTTGTTAAAGGCATCCCGTTAGCAAGGCTGCCCTGCCTCTCATTCCTCCTCTCACAGCACTGTCCTACTAATAGCATTCAAGGGTCCAGCGGACGGGGTGCAGCTGAACTCTGACATAGGCAATGAGTGGAGGTGAGTTCTCGCTTCCAATTATTGGCAGATTCCTTCCTGGGCCCCAGAGCCCCCATCCACCCAGAGAGGTGATTGAAGAGGCGGGGCAGTCCTCCTCCATGCCCAGGAGGTAGAGGATTCTATGGGGTAATTAAGTTCAAGAAAAGGCCCTAAGACCCACCTCAAGATTTCAAAATGATTCAAAGCACAGTTCAGCTATGCAAAAAGGACAATTCTTTGTAATCACTTAGACTTCTAGACTTCCCAGTAAAGCCATTTGGCCCAAATAAACTTTGATTTTACTTTTTGATCTCCTTTATTCTCACTCTCCCCCCCCCCCCATACACACACACACCTTTGGTAGTCTCTGGTGACCTAAGGTCACTTTATTTTTTCTTTTTGACTTTGAAAGATAGCTTCCTTCAGAGTCACAAAAGAAAAACTAATAAAAAGGAAAAATACGTTGATATGGTTGGTTGATATTTCTCAATCAACTGTAAGGTATGAATAAAGGCACCTTTAAAAATGTGATTATTGCCCTAACTCAATGGTCGGCTCAGTGGACAGAGCATCAGCCTGCAGACTGAAGTGTCCAAGGTTCGATTCCAGTCAGAGGCATGTACCTTGATTGTGGGCACATCCCCAGTAGGGGGTGTGCAGGAGGCAGCTGATTGATGTTTCTAACTCTCTATCCCTCTCCCTTCCTCTTTTTAAAAATATCAATAATATATATATATAATTTAAATGTGACTGTTATACACCCAGAACACCATCTTAACAAGAAATGCATGCTACTATGCAAGGGCAACTTCAGGACAGTCTCCTGACTTCCCTGTATCCCTTCCAACTTCAAGCCCCTCCTATGTGGCTTACCCCCCCCCACACACACACACACATGCATATTTTAGTTTGGTTCCTACCTTATAGAACTGAAATCAACAAGTTGTAACAACCACATATAATCATGATGGAATGGGTGAATATTCTCCCCCCCCCTTTTTAAATTAAACTTATTGGGGTAATATTGGTTAATGATATATAATTCAGGTGTACAAAATCTTAATGCTGATGAGTTTTCCCACAGATCCATGAGTTATGCCTTTCTTTTTTTTTAATTTATTTTTTTTACATATTTTATTGATTTTTTTGTTTTTACCCCCCTCCCTCCCTCCCAAACATCCCCTCCCTCCCCAGAGTTTTATGTCCATTGGTTGTATTAATACTTATATGCATGTATATAAGTCCTTCGGTTGATCTATTATCTCCCCCAGATCTTCCTCCCCTCCCCACTGTAATTTGACAGTCTGCCTGTTGCTTTACTTTCTCTATATCTGTCTCTTGGTTCATCAGTTTATAATGATCTTTATCGTCCACCAATGAGTGAGGTCATGTGGTATTTCTCTTTCATTGATTGGCTTATTTCACTCAGCATGATGTTCTCCAATTCCATCCAGGTTGCTGCAAATGATGAGAATTCCTTCTTTTTATGGCAGCATAGTATTCCATTGTGTAGATGTACCAAAGTTTTTGGATCCAATCATCTGAGTTATGCCTTTCTTATTCAAATTTCCAGTAGCATCATTTTACTCTGAGTTTTCTCACAAAAAGCTCTGATGACACCAAAATTGACATCTGAAGCCAGATTTTTATACCTACTTACATGTGTTGATCTCTCCTATCATATACCCCCCCTACCCATGTACACATATTTATTACCATGAGTTTATAACCAAAATGCAAAGGAAAGGCAGCACTGAAAAATGACTCCATTGCCTAATCCTCAGCTCAAAGGCCAGCACAATTTCCCCATAGACTATAGTGTTCAGTCAGTAAAAACCTTATGCCATTGTAAAATGAAATATCCTGTCTCTGTCACCACACGCCATAGTTACACTCTTGTTCGCTTTATCCCAGTAGAAAGAAGGTCTTTCTTCAAGGAAAGGGTTAGCATAGAGAGCTCTATAAGGCACCTCTGCCTGCCATCAGCTAGCCCCCTACATCTGCAGATTGATATTCAAGTTTCCTCTAGAAACTCACAAGCAACAAAGCAGAGATTGCTGAAAGGTTCTTCACCAAAAATGTTTGTTGTTTCAAATAACCCAGCATTGTTGCAGCGCCATCATTATTTCTACTTAAAAATATTTTTATTGTCTAAGAAATTCCAGGAAATACATGGGCTTGTTAGCATAATCACATAATTATAGTGACTGAAGTCCCCCTCCACCCAATTGCATATATTCCTCACTTAATCACTTTAATTCACTCTTTAAAGCCCCATCACTAAGTATTATAAAAACTGTTAAATAAAAAGTTTTCAGTAAATTTATTGAGATAAATAGGACTATTCCATCCCAACCTAAGTTACTCAAACCATTTCACAGGTAGAAAAATATAGCAAATTCATATAAGTTAAAAGCAACAGTTTGAAAGTAAATGAATATGTTTTTGTCTATAAAATGTAATATTTTATAATGGAGGTTCACTATACTTGCCAAAGGAAGAGAAGCAGATTTGAGAGTGGTTAGCAATGGCTGGAGGAGAAGGGAGAGGTTGCCATTCTTGGTTAGTCATATGGTTCGTATTCAAGCAGCAAACTTTTTGGAGCTCATGGTTATCCTATACTCAACCTGCACCCACAAATAAAGTTATGGCACAGAAAAACACCTTTAGGGAAAAATAAAAACTAAAGTTGAGATAGCCATGAAACA